AAGAGGCTTGAGTAGACTACAAAAACTGGTTTAGTTGGATGACTGAAGATGTATAATTCATGTTATCAAATTGTAAGAGGCTTGAGTAGACTACAAAAACTGGTTTGGCAGGATGACTAAAGATGTATAGTTCATGTTATCAAATTGTAAGAGGCTTGAGTAGACTACAAAAACTGGTTTGGCAGGATGACTAAAGATGTATAATTCATGTTATCAAATTGTCAAAGGCTTGAGTAGACTACAAAAACCTGTTTAATAGGATGACTGAAGATGTATAATTCATGTTATCAAATTGTCAGAGGCTTGAGTAGACTACAAAAACCTGTTTGGCAGGATGACTGAAGATGTATAATTTATGTTATCAAATTGTCGGAGGCTTGAGTAGACTACAAAAACTGGTTTGGCAGGATGACTGAAGATGTATAATTCATGTTATCAAATTGTCAGAGGCTTGCGTAGACTACAAAAACTGGTTTGGCAGGATGACTGAAGATGTATAATTCATGTTATCAAATTGTCAAAGGCTTGAGTGGGCTACAAAAACCTGTTTGGCAGGGTGACTGAAGATCTATAATTCATGTTATCAAATTATCAGAGGCTTGAGTAGACTACAAAAACTGGTTTAGTAGGATGACTGAAAATGTATAATTCATGTTATCAAATTGTCGGAGGCTTGAGTAGACTACAAAAATCGGTTTGGCAGGGTAACTAAAGATGTATAATTCATGTTATCAAATTGTCAGAGGCTTGAGTAGACTACAAAAACCTGTTACCTCCTACACATAATGTTGGTATTAATGGTAACTTGAATATTAGTGGTAATATAAGAATAGTTAGGAACAATATACCCAGAGTTAATGATTTCCTTAAAATTATTTCTCAGAATTGTTAACATATAGGGTATTTAACATTATTATGTTGTGTTTGATAATACTTTGTGTTATTTTAAGTTTTTGTTGGATCTGTAATGTGAAAGTCTTCTTTTATATATATAGGCTGATGGTTTGTAGAAATCCTAACATAATATCCAGAAACCTGTGCACCCACTTCTGAGGAAAAGAAAAAGTTTTAATCCACCTATTATTTTTCAAGAAATCATTGATTCTCCTTTTAAGATCTTGTAAGGTGTTGGTTTCCACAACTGGTGACAGTATTTCATTCCATAAGCTACTTACCCTATTAGACAAATATAATGGTCTAACTGGAGCCTAGCTTTTTTTTAAATCATAAACCTTTATCCTCTTTTCCTATTATATTCAGAATTTGGCAGAGAGAAATTAGAGGCTTTTATCCTATCAATCCCCTGATAATCTTGTAAACTTCACTAAGATCATATCTTACCCTTTTTATAAGATAACCTATCCCCCACAATATAACCTTTTAATCCCTGGAATTACTCTAGTAGCCTTTCTCTAAACCATTTCCAATAAGTAGATATCTTTTCTTAGATGAGGGGAGACCAGTAATTGTTCAAATTATTCCAAGTGAAGCTTAACTAGCAATTTGTAAAATGAGATAATTATAAATTCGATGACGAGGAACCCACTTTGAGACTAATAATGCTTGGAGATGGCTTAAATGGGTAATGAAGAAAACTTTAATATAAGTTTAACATAACAGCAAATGTACAACGTTTCGACAAGGTTCTGTCATCATTAGAACTTGTACCTGAATGTAACTTGTAACTTGTTCCTAAATGCTATTTAAGTGTAAATAAAGAAAGGCAAGGGCTCAAGTACTGACTTCTTTGGCACACTACTATTTACAAATGTCCAGTTTGACTAGAGTCTATAATAATAATAATATTTTGCTTTCTCTAAACTCCCTGCCCTGCAGTACAGTTCATCTTTCCCCAACCCCGCAATTGAAAATTTCTTAACTAATCTTCTGTGTGACATGAAGAGCTTTTTGAAAATCTAAGTATATCAGGTCGTTTTCTATCATCCAGATAACAAGTAACCTTCTCAAAAAAGTAAACAGAGTAAGTCAAGATTTCCTTTTTAGAAAATCCATCTTGAGTCTCTGTTATGATATCATATTTTTACTAAAAGACTGCAGTTTTTATCAGATTGACCAATAATTTTCACCCCTTTAAAAAGGAGTAACATTAGTAGATCTGTCCATAGTCACCTGTCCACTTTCTGTTAACTTACCAAAAATGATCTTTGACATCTTATAGCTTGTGTTCTCTGGTTTTCTTAGGTTCATACATGTGTGCGAGAAGAATAGATAGGTAGCGAGTGTTGACAGATTTTTACTGAAAGTATAATTACAAGTATTCCATCATCCATTATAAAACAGCAAGAAATGACCATGCAATTTTTACTTATGATGCATTTTTACATTTACCTTGTAAGGAAGAGACTGTTTACTAAGTAGTATTAGTAAAATGTACATTTACCTTGTAAGGAAGAGACTGTTTACTAAGTAGTATTAGTAAAATGTACATTTACCTTGTAAGAAAGTGACTGTTTACTAAGTAGTATTAGTAAAATGTACATTTACCTTGTAAGAATGTGACTGTTTACTAAGTAGTATTAGTAAAATGTACATTTACTTTCTAAGAAAGTGACTGTTTACTAAGTAGTATTAGTAAGATGTACATTTACCTTGTAAGAAGAGACTGTTTACTAAGTAGTATTAGTAAAATGTACATTTACCTTGTAAGGAAGAGACTGTTTACTAAGTAGTATTTAAATGTACATTTTACTAATACTACTTAGTAAACAGTCTCTTCCTTACAAGGTAAATGTACATTTTACTAATACTACTTAGTAAACAGTCTCTTCCTTACAAGGTAAATGTACATTTTACTCCTTAGTTCTTATTATACATGCCTGATTTCATGTATGTTAACTTACTTCAATTTCATGTTTCAGAACTAACAGTTGAAAGTTGTGTTGTTTCTCAAGAGATGATAAAAGAAACGTTCAATTTTAAGGAAAGGATCGCTGGAATAAGAGACGTCTTAGCCCGTGATCACATGAAAGTGGTTTTTTTTGGAAGGTCAGTCATTTTACCTTTGTGTAATAAAGTGTTCTTATATATGTGTGTGTGTGTGTGTTTATCATTTTACACAAAGTAACGTTTTTTATTTTGTGGGTGAGATGTATTTTAAAATTTAACATTAGTTTTTCTTTTTGTTTTCCAACATAAATGGTACTTTTGTTGTGATTTAGAACCTTTGTCGTTTGTATAATATAGAATGACTTGTATATATATAACATTTCCTGTAGAACAAGCAATGGAAAGAGCTCAGTGATTAATGCTCTTCTACAAGACAAGATCTTACCTAGTGGCCTTGGTCATACTACAAATTGTTTCTTGCAAGTTGAAGGAGCTGATACTCCTGAACCTTACCTTCTTACAGAAGAATCCAGTACACCACAGAACATTCAAGTATGTAGGTTTATAATGTTGTTGGGAGGGGCCTAACTTTAAGGAGAATTTGAGATAAAATCATAAATAATATTCAACGTTAAACTGGTACACAATTAAAAACATTTTATTTAGGCTTATCTATGGCCATCAAAAAGTTGACGACACTACATGTTTCGACTCCTGAGGCCATAGATAGGCCTAAATAAAATGTTTTTAATTGTGTACCAATTTAACGTTGAATATTATTTATGATTTTATCTCAAATTCTCCTTAA